TCAAAGTTGACAAAACTCAGGGGCTGCAGAGCTGGGATTTGAACCCAGACCATGAGACTCCTGGACCAGGGCTCTCTCTGTGTGGTGTACGCGCTGCAGGCTCCAGGTCACTGCCACGTGTCTGCATGTGCTCGCTGCCGCACATACACTAACTCACTCTTACAGTGTGCCTCATTCACACTCAGCCAGACCCCTTTTCAGCCACAGGTGCTGCTGAGACATCCTCCCCACGATTTTCTCTGAACTCTCCCATCTGGCCCAGGCACTCAAGCGGTTCACTCAACTCTGAATCTGTGGTTTGAAAACAGTCACACTCCTATATACGTGTGCAAACATACATATCCTCTGCACACTAACAGTACCCTCATCCTTCCCACAGCAAGCCTGGCCCCTCACCAGGCAGATGGCACAGCCAGATGAGGCACGGGATCGCCCCTTTTCTCTTCCATCTGTGCAAGCGATAGCTTTTACAGCTCTGAGGTCAGGCTGACCCGACTTGCAGCAAACCTGGCCAGAATCAGGCAATGGCATGCTGGCCACGGTGCTGGCTTTCTGATTGCCTGTAGGCTCTGTTCCTGATTGTGGGAGCGGGCCTCAGCCCAGCCCTCAACTCTGACAGTCAGGGGAAGAGGCAGGAGTTCCCCAGGGCCCACAACCAATTTCATTGCCTCAGTCTCCACTTACAGAAGATGGAGAACAGTGGTTTCCTTGTCCAGTCTGATCATAGAAGTCCACTTAGATGCAGGCTGGAGGGGTGGAGCAGGCCCAGAGAGAGTCACCACTGTGCTAGGCACAAACCACGATGACCTCTGCGGGAGGTCAGTGTGTCCCAGTCTCCCAGGGATGGATGGACTTGTGCACTCACACTTTCCTTCACTATAGAACCGGAACTCCTTCCCTCAAGCAGAACCCTCAGCAGAAGTTAGTTATTGAAGACATCAAGCAGAAATCTGCTCTTGCCCTGCCCAGCAATTATACATAACAAAGAACCTGCCCTTTAGTGGGTGCTAGGCAAAGTGTTTCTCATGCATCTTGTCATCTAATTATCATGACAGTGTAGTTCAGTACATTATCAGCTTCTACTGTCAACACCTTCTAACATCAGGCATCTTATAGAAGAGACATTGAGTCACATATGACCTAGAGTTTGTTCAGGATTACGCCCCCTCCAACCTGCAAAGCCTTATGGAAACTTCCAAAGCTAGCTGGACATCTCTCAGTCCCTGGCTCCTTTAACAATCACTATTAAAGCAATATATATTCAGCTAGTACTCAAACACTGTAGAAACGAGTATGTGTGCCAAGTCTCCTGACACACCACAGATTCCTGCAATATGTCCTAAAGCCTCGGTCTAACCTCTCCCGCGATCATCTCCCAAGCTGTTTGCATCTACCCATTCCCCTCACTGCAACCAGTGTAGCTTCAGGGAATTCACATACGGTTTCCTGTGGGTCCAGGAAACACATGCACTTTGCAGTCTGGTAGCGTATCAGAGTATGCTGGAGTAGACCACTATCATCTGACTCCCCTGAAAGGTTTGTTAAAAAAACACATTCTTCATCCCACCATTAAATGAGAATCCCAGGGTCTGGCCAGAAATCTGCATGTTAACAAGCTTTCCAGGTCACACTGATGTTCAGTGTGAGGACCACATCTGACAGGTAGATGCAGTCTAGAGACCTGGACACTGGTTTTACATCCATCACTAAGCAGCCAAATGATCTTATGGAAGTCCATTTACCTACTGAGCCTCCAGGCTGCCTGGAAAACAGGCAGAGAGGACTAAATGAGCCCCAAGATGCTTTCCATCCCTGACAGTTCTGTGTCTGCTCTGAGTTCCCAGTGGTTCATACATATAGGAACTGACTTTCAAGGACTCCTAGGTCAACAGCCACTGTACACAGTCATTACAAAGAGTTCCTGTCTGGTTGATTTAGAGACATCTGCAAAAAGTACCTTATCTCTGGCTCCGGGCCCTGAACAAATGGGTTTTGGATTATCCTATGCCACCTCCCCTCTCCCCTAAACATCTATTTTCCTCATTCCAGCCACATCCCTTAGCCAATCAGGATCCTGTAAACACTGGCTTTGCACACTTGGGCTTAGTCAACAGTCATTAAACAAAGGCACTGCCAAAGTGCCTACAAGCCCACACTTGCACTGGTCTCGCACCTCACCAGCTCTGTGTCTCACGGGAAGCAGCCAGCCTGGCCTGTGTGGATGGACAGTAAGCGCCCTTCCTCTAGCGCAGGATGAGCATGAAGGGCTATGCTGGGTAGAACGGCTCCAGCCTACCAAAGGGATGCAAGTTCATCCAGACTGAAGGAATGTAAGGAGCAGCCAGTGGTTGCTGGAAGCTTCCAAAACCAGCTAGACATCGTTCTATCTGTGGCTACTTTAATGATCACCATTAAAATAGGATGCATTCAGCTAGTACTCAGATACTGCCTGGTGGTACCAAACATATATGACTGGATCATCCTGCCAGGTCTACGAGTCCCCAACAGTGGAAGTGTGGGGGTTGTCAGATCCACTGCCTGGACACGGGGAGAATTCAGATTCAGGTACCTGTGCCTACAGTGAGCGTGTGCCCACAGAATAACTGAAGGGGAAGGGCAAACAGGAAAGGCAGGAATGCAAACCCAGCCTCCCTAGTGGGAAACATCTGTGAATTATAGCCTGGATCTGCTGATCCTCATCATTTAGGAAACCCAAAATAGATGATCCTCTCCCTCTGACCATGCTGACTGCCCGTGAGGATTGTGTTTTATGTGTACACAGTACCTCACAGTGTGCAAGGCTGGGGAAAGTCCAAGAGCCTTTTCCAGGAGCCAGCCCCCAGAATAGGTGTGTTAGTGAGTGGAATTGCCACAAAACCCCAGGAGGTAGGAACTATTATTTTGCAGTTGGGGAAACTGAGGCACAGAAGACCCAGAGGTCTCACAGTCAAGAAACTATCATGTCAGGACTCTATGCTAAAGCCCACACTGCCAACTCCTTACCATAGTGTCTTACAATAATGTACCTGCGTGGGGAGCAGGGAAGGAAGGGCTGGGCACATGGAGGAGGGGGCCTGGCACAGGTCTCCCCTCCACTCCTCCTGGAGTAAGACAGCTGCATGCTGAGCCACAGTGGGCTGGGTGTGGAACAGAGAGATGAAGAGAAGCGGGGCCACCCCACCTTGAAACTGAGCACATACTTCCTCTGCCACAGTAGACCCAGGTCTGGAGGGATCTTGCCAGGCTCCACTGTTACCCAGAGCAGGGCCTTCCTGTCCTGATCTGGCCTCTCTCCACGTATACTTCCCTCGCAGCCACCCTGTGCAGCACCAGAATGAGTTAGGCCAGGCAAGAGGAAGTGGCCACACTTGAAAATCATTAGCATGCAGCCCTGTGCTTTGGGCCTTTGTTCTTGAGCAAGGACTGTAGCATTTCACTTTCAGGAAGGAGCTGGGAGGGTGGGGCAGGCTCAGAATTGCACAACCAAAAAGCACAGGCTCAGACACACACAGGTCCCAGGTGGAGTTTGCTTAGACAGGCCACCTGCAGAAAAGTGCAGGCAAACCCCAGTCCTGTCCCACACAGCGCACAAAGACATGAGAAAGAGAGAGAGAGAGGCAGAGACGGACACAGAGCCAGAGAGCCAGAGAGAGCCAGAGAGGGACGGACAGAACAGGCTGTCTCCACTGCTTTTTCAATTAGAGAAGGCTTCCAGCTGGGGATAAAATTGGGGTTTTGTGGTCAAGTCTTCCAAGCCAGGGAGCCCAAGCTGGGGGCACTGAGGAGGAAGGGGCTCGGTCCAGCCGATGCCAAGGGAATTGCATCCTGCAGCTCTGGAAAGGCTGCCTTTCTGCGCCCCTGCCTCCTAAAAGGCTGCAACCCTCTTCTGATCATCAGGTGTCACTATAACCTGCTTGTGCTTTGTCCAGATGGTGGGGAAAAAAACCCAACCACTTTAGCAGTTCCCACAGACACCCAGCAGCACTGGAACCCCACAGTTAGGGCAGCTTTATCAACATTGTGGCCTTTCCCTGAGAGTCACCTCTCAGCCACCTGAGCTGTGGCCCCAGAGGCTGTGAGTTAAGTCAGTTCTGGGGAAGGGGGGATGAGGGCCAGGGAGGTGAGAGGGAAGGAAGGAAGTAGGGTTACCAGGGGATAAAAGTCAGTTGCAGGGAAAAACCTGTTTCTAAAAATGAAACACAAACAATAAAGCAGCGGCAAGCATGCCCCATAAAAGCCTTTGTCCCCAGAACTGGCCATGGCCACCCCCTGCCACCCACCTCGCAGGGTCCACAGGACACTAAGATTTCACTCTGCTTCCTTCCTGTGCCTCTCTTGAGTTTACTCAGGAGGCTCTCGAGGAAATTAGGAGAACTGGGACTCTTGTTCTTTGTCAGTGATAAAGTGACAGCTTCCTTCTGAGGGGTCTTTTCACATTGTCACAACCCCCAGCTGGGCTCCCCTACCCCACCCCAGGCTCTGCTGGGTGGTGGCAGAGGGTTTGTCCTGGGAGGCTGTTCCCTCGTGCTGCTGTGGGACTGAAGCCGGACAGGAGCAGGCCACCCAGCAGGTCCAGCTCACCCCCCTCAAAGCAGCTCTGTTTGCAAAGGGCTTTCGGGGACAGGAAGCAATAAACAGAGTCAAGCGGGCCAAGATGCGGGGGCTGATTGTGCAGTTTATGGATTTTCCAGGCCTCTGTGTATTCTTCCACCAGCTGCCTAGGGCTATGCAGAAAAAGCTGCTGGCAAAGGACCTGCTGGCCCCTGGCTTCACAGGTGGCCTTTTGCAGGCCTAATTGGGTCCTTCTGAGCATGTCCAAAGGACTCTAACCTGAAGGCCCCCACAAACCACCATGGGAAACATCTCCCAAAAGGACTAGAGTCCAGCCTGCTAGTGGTTACAGCTACATGTGCATGTGCACACACGCACACACGCAACCTCAGAAGGAGCCCCGAGAGGCGCTCTGAGAGGGGCGGGCATGCCTGGCTGTGACTGCCTACCTCGGGGCCTGCTGGGTGGCCCTCTTGTACAGGGAGGTGAGGTCGTCTGAAGGTGGTTCCGGCCTGGAGGCCTGACTGGCGCAAGGCTCAGCTGGCACTGCACACCCCAAACAAGCCAAGACCTAGAGGACAGGAGGCAACGCTGCATGAGCACAGCCACAAGTACAGAGTGGTTTGGGAAACCTGAAAAAGGGATACCCACATATCTCTCCGTACTAGTAACCAAAGCATAACACAAAGCTGGGTGACAGTAACTGGGGATGTACTCAGGCAGTGGTCAGTCGAACCCTTGCCTGGAATGTGCAGTGTCCTGAGTTGAAACCCTAAAACTGCAAAAAAAATTTAGAAAGAAAAATAAGATTAAATTTAAAAACATAAACACAGGATACCTACATGTGCAGCTACAACGTTCATGGATGGGAGGGACAAGCATGAAACTCAAATGTCAAGGCCACTCATATGCTGTGCTGCTTTTATGACAATATCTGAGTCTGTAGGTGGACCTTCAAAGCCACACACCAGACACCAGACTCCCAGCAGCAGTGGCTTCGGGGTAGGATGCGGCCAGTGGGAACTTGTGCCGTGAACCGCCTGTACCTCTGCAGCTTTTCATGTTTTGAGAAATGTGATCATTTCTATAGCTAACAATTCATAACTTTAAAAAGTTAAGTGTCCTGTTGATAGGAATGTAAAGCTCACAGCCACAGTGAAAAGAGCCTGATGGCACTTTAAAAAGTTAAACAGAGTTCCCACATGATCCAGTGATTCTGCTTTGAGTATACGCCCAGAAGAACTGTAAGCTGGAACCTGAGCAGATAACTGTACATGACACCCACAGTAGCACCACTGTTCACCATGGCCCGTGGGTAGAAACAACCCAAGTGTCCACCTGCTGACAGATGGTAAATAAGGCATTTGAAACAATGGAACATTACTCAGCCACAAAAAGGAGTAAAATCTTGATAAATGTTCTCATATTTTTGTTTGTTTGTTTGTTTGTTTGAGGCAGGGTCTCACTATGCAGTTCAGGCTGGCCTTGAGCTCACAGTGATCTTCCTGCCTTGAATATGTACCACCATGTCTGGTTTAAATGTTCTAATATGGGTGATCTTTGAAAATATTATGCTAAGTAAAATAAGGTAGAGCCACCCAAAAGGGCAAATGTATGATTCTACTTATCTGAGGTACCTAGAACAGGTAAATTCATAGAGGCAGACAGTGGAAGAGAGAGGGGCTAGGGGTTTAGCTCAGCAGCTCAGCGGTGTAAGCACCAGGTCGTGAGTTCAATCCCCGCTACCCAAAAAAAAAAAAAAAAAAGTAGAAGGGAGGCTTCTAAAGGGACTATAAAAGCTAGGAGTGTGAAGTTAGGATTACTAGGCATAGAGTTTCTCTCTGGGGTGATGAGAAAGTTCTGGAAATTGCACAATAATGCAAAGGTACTACATGCCACCGTGTTGTAAATTTAAAATGGTTAAAATGATAAATTTAATATTGATTATATTTTTAGTACAAGAAAGATAAAGAAAAAAGGAAGAGGGGACGGGAAGGGAAGGAGGGGGTAAGGACATATAATTAAGGCAGGAGGAGGCTCATGGGCAGAAGGGGACAGTACTTGGGCGATGCAGAGAGGCCCACCAGTGTACAGGAAATCCTGGCCTACACAGAGGAGCTCTGTCCCCATCTGCATGGAGTTGGCCCTGACACAATGACACCCCTGTTGGTGAGCACTGTTCACATGGCCCGCGGAGTCACACATGCTGTGGGGTTGGGGGTGGCAGCGCAGGGCTACTTTCAGGGCATCTGGAAGAGCTGGGTCGCGATGCCTTAGGAAACGGGAATTAAAATGGTCAGCGCATGCAAGCACCTTGGACAGGGGGCGGGCCTGGTGGGGGGCGGGAATGCAGCCGGAGACCCGCGGAGTCGGCCCTAGAGGGCGCTGTGGGAGACAGGAATCATTCATTTAACACCTGCTGCCAGCCGGGGCGAGGCTGCGGGCAGTGGGCAAGTGGGGGTGGGAGAGAGAAGAGGTCAGAGCCATCTGGTAAACACAGAGGCCCCTCTGCTGGTGACGAGGTCACTGCCCAACAAAGCCATGGCAAATCGAAAATATCCTAAGTCAAAAGTGCACCGAATACACCAAGCTGCCAAGCGTCAGAGTCTGGCCTCGCCTCCCGTAGACATACTCAGCACGCTTCTTTTAGCCGACAGTTGGCCAGTCATCCAGCACAGCGTCTGCTCCATACCACAATGTTGAGCATCTCATGATTTATTGAATACTACACTGAAAGCGAAAAACAGAACAGTTTGTGGGTATGTTTGCACACCATCGTGAACTCAGAAAATTCGGAGTGGAACCATCACAAATCACAGACCATCTGGACCTTGGTGCACTTCCAGTTGCCCACTCATAGCGCTCAACACTCAGTATGTATATAATATAACCAGGCCGTGATGCAGTCACGCTGGAGGCTGAGGCAGGAGGATGCTAAGTTTGATGCCAGCTTGGGCAACTTAATGAGACTCTGTCTCGAAATTAAACTTTTTCTAAAAATGGCTGGTGGTATGGCTCCTTGGAAGGGTGCTTGCCTAACACGTGCAAAGTCCTGGGTTCTATCCCTGGGATCAAAAATAAACAAATAAACTTATGTAAAACAAAAAGAGCAAAAGCTTCATAGGAGGCCAAACACCTTCTTACTTGAGGCTAGATCATTGCATCCAGAATAAGAAAAATGAGCCGGGGATTTAGCTCAGCAACATAAGTGCCTGCCTGGCAAGCATGAGCTTGTGAGTTTAATCCCGGTACCAAAAGAAAATAAGTAAGATCAAACTGCCCCCATGGGCAGAGCACCTGCATGCCCGCTGGCCAGTTATCAGGCCTCAGCTGACCCCAGTTCTTCCTTCCTGGAGGAAAGAAACACAAGGAGCCCAGTCACAGCCAAGTGGGGTACCAAGCTCTGGGGCCTGTGACTGCCCAAGACTTCTCAGAGCAGCTTCCTGAGGTTTCACCGGCTTATCTCCAGCGTGCAAGGACAAAGAGTGGCTGGGGGGGGGGGGAGGCTGTGGTTAGTGACAGCTCCGCCTCTCTTGAGATAAGAATAGCTCAGCAGTGGACTTCAGCGAATCCAGGGACTGCCTGAACATGCTAGGTGCTAGGTGTTGTGAGTGAGCGTGTGTGTGTGTGTGTGTGTGTGTGTGTGTGTGTGTGTGTGTGTGTGTGCAAGTGGGCAGGCAGTTCCGAAAGATCTTAACATGACACTCTGGCCATTTCAGTTTTGCCTATAGTTATCCAAAAAGGTAGCCACTAATCACATGTGGCAATAAAATTTTTAATCAAAATTAAGCAGGATTACAAATGCAGTACTCCAGTCAGACTGCCACATTTCAATCCTCAACAGCCCCTGTGCTGCGCATTTCAGACCATTTCCAGCATGGCTGGGTGGCCTGCCAGGCAATGCTGTTCTAAAACCTGGTGCCCTCCTCTGTGGGGGAAGAACTCCTTAATTTACTGCCCCTGTGAAGGCTTTGTTACAATTACCCCAATTAAGGAGCCCTCCAAGGCAGACACAGCTAGGTTGAGCTCTGCACACAGGCCTTGCTTTTACTGCGATAACTGATGATCCAGCCTCATCCAAGATCTAAGCTCTGCCCTGTTTCCTGTGAGGCTGGACCCCAAGGCAGAGGGGAAGAGGAGTCCAGTGAGAGCCCAGGTTCAGAAGAGATGGGAAGGAAGGGTGTTCCTAGCATCCAGGGCTCCTCCATTGCCCCCTCTCCTGGGGAACCCCGTGTGTGGCCCTAGCACTGCGTTTTGGGGCTTCTCTACTGCAACAGAAGGAGCCAGGGAAAACTGGAGTTGCGGTGGGAGTGAGCACAGGCAAGTGCTCATTAAAGGTAAGAGTGTCGTTTCAAGGAACGCACGGTCAGCTGAAGGAAGTGACCGTGAAGAGTACTTGAGTCTTTGGCCCTGCATCTCTGAACTAACCAGAGACAGAGAGGCTGGGCTCCCACCCCATGCTGCACAAGGACCCAGTGATGTACATCCATCACCCCTAATGTAACCAGTTTAAGAATTCCCCATCTATGTCAAAGCAGCAGCACTGTCCCTCCCCAGCGTGTCTCCTGAAAAGCCAACCAAAATCACCTGTAAATATGCACTTTTCTTTTACCAGCAGCCAGCTGGGATTGGGGGAAGCCAAGCAGATAGCACAGAAAGTGTGGTGCAGGGGGTGCATGGAGATCTTGAGAAGACAGCCTGTGAGCCTGGTTCTGCTCAGGGATCCTGGAGTGGGTTCCTTTTTAAATTAAATAAAACAGATACAGAAATCTTCACAAAACACATAAGTCTAATGAATTGTCACCAAGCAAATACCTCGTAACTATCCACGGCAAGAAAGATTTGCTGGCTACTCTAAAACCCTCTCTATGAGCTGACTTTGGCGTCGATCCTTACCTCCCCCTCCTCCAAACAGAACTGGGAATTGAACCCAAGATCATCCCCAGCCTCATCCCCTTTTTAAAATTTTGAGACAATTAAAAGGGTACAGTTAGTACAAAAAAATTTTTTTGAGACAAGGTTACAAACAGTTCAAACTGTGTTCTAATTTGTGATCCTCCTGCCTCAGCCTCCTACAGTGGTAGGATTACAGCCCAAGCTGCCCGCAGCCTGAAGTTCATGGCGCAAGGTTCCTCTTGTCTCTGAACCCTCTTAGTTACCTGCAATGCCCAACTTGCTGGGCTCCTGTGACAACAAATAGAGAAGAGGAGTGTGAAATCATGGAGGGGAATGTTTATAACATGTTCTTATGCAAAGAGTACAGGGAGAAAACCATATAAAGAAAAAAGACCTAAAAAAGAGACCAGAAGGAAATGTGCCCACACATCAATCATTATCCTGAATTCTGCAACATTTTTCTCCTTATGTTTTCCCACAATTAGAACATCAGAGTGTGATCACGAGGGGCCAAGTCATCTCTAAGTATGTTTTAGCAGAGTGTTCTTACAGTGTGGCACCAGACCGAGTGTGTCACCAGCCTGGCCCATCCTACCTTCACTGCTCCCCACTCCCACTCCAGCTCTGCTTCTGGGTTCCCACCAAGAATTCAGCCAAGCACCGGCATCCACAACT